GCAAGGAAGTAAGCACAAGATGCCGAAAACCCTTAGCAGGATGCAGCGCACCCTTCATGCGACTCGCCGAATATCTCACGGCGCTTCGCGCTTGGTGATGTGAGAGCCTGGTCCGGTGAGAAGCCGGCGTGCTCCGTCCCGGCTTTGTAGGGATGCGAGGTCAATGGTCTAACGACTACGGCATGCACGACTATGAGTACACCCCCCCCCTCCCCATGACCCCGATTTTCGATTAGTAGGCCTATTTGTCTTGAAATTTTTATCGCACAGACCCTTCATGGATATATGAGACGGGTGTCTCCAGGTTCGCGTGTGGCTAAGTTCCCTTCGGGATGTGTGGTATGGATGCACGCCGGTTCAACCTCTTGTGGGAGAGGCTGAAGAGCGGATAGTTGTGTGTCAGGCGTAAGCGAGCCCGCTGCAGCAGGGTTCAGCGTCCATCATATACTAACTTTATCTGTGGCAACACCCCGAAGGTAGATCTCCGACAGGTCATCTGACGTCACAATCTACGACAGTCTGAGGTGACATTGACACGCTTGCGCTAGACGCTGCTGCCACGCGACAGTTGCTGCAGAGAGCTCAGGCGGGGTCTGCCCGTGTCGCAACGCTCGGAGGCACCTCTTGACCTCCTCGTAGCACGCTGCCTCCAGCAGCTGCACTGACGATAACGAGTCCACATGATCATCATCAACGTCCATTCATGACGGGTGCGACCCTTTTCCCTCGTCTTCAGAAGACGGGGGCGACGACGACGACGACGAGCCGGCGGGTGACGCCGGGTCTTGTTGGCTCTTCCCGAGTCAGTGTATGATGGACGCTGAACCCTGCTGCAGCGGGATCGCTTCCCCCCTGACACACAAGACAACTATCCGCACTCAGCCTCTTTCGCAAGAGGTTGAACCGGTGTGTATCCACACCACACATCCCGAAGGGAACTCAGCCACACACGAACCTGGAGACACCCGTCTCGTAGTTGGCGGCAACGCAGTCCGTGTGCTGTTTGCGTTCCTAGCTGGGTGGTGGGCATTCCTGGTGTCCACCATGAAGAATAAGAAAAAGTCGAAACAAGTGGCGTACCAAGCCGAGGAAGAAGCGGACGACGTAGACTCCATATTCGACTTTGATCTGACGTCGTAATCTACGACAGTCTGAGGTGACATTCACAGGTATAAGAGAATGAAACCGGCTTGTCGCGGCTAAAGCCGATGTTAGAGAAACTTTGCCTTATTCCTGAGGAATTCTCTTGAACCGAGCCGTGAGATATCGCTCTACAGCACTACACTCAACACGCAGCACACGCACACGGCTGCAGGCACGTTTCCTATCATCTTCGTAAGGCCAAGCTCGCTTGAAGAAGCAATCTCAGGTCGAGAGAAGCCAAGCAAACGTGCACGAGAGACTTTTTCTGGGACGGAAAGGAGGCAGGAAAGAGTGGTTGAAGGAAACATCAATGGGGCGGGAGGAGCGCACAGCTTTTGCATTTGTTTCCCTGTTGATTGGCCATTTTCATTTTGTTTTAATCGCATGCATGTATTTGTAAGGGTGTATACGTCACCTGAACGCACTGTTTTCGCTGGGGCGAGCATTGGTAGGCGCAACGCGTAGCAGACTTGCAAACGGAAGTACGCATGACGTTGTTTTTTGCGATGGGTATGCACTAAGTATATCATAGCTGCGCGTTGAGCGAGAACGACGCGACGTCGTTGCTGCAGCAAGACGTTCACATGGTTTTGAATGCGCTCATGGAGCTCTGACATCGATTTTGGAAGAATCCCTGATCTAGATGGCCCTTGAGAATTCGACTAGGTATAATATAAGATAATTTTCTCTTTTATCGTAATTTTGTTATATGTAAGAGAAAATTCCGTTAAAACGAACTATGAGAAGTTTATCTTAAAACGAAATAAGAGGAAGTCGGAGAAGCATTTCGGCCTGTCACGCCTTCTCTTACATCGTAGCCGCCACTGTAACTATTTTTTTAGGTGTCCCCCGCACAGAAATTTTTGATAGGTCAGGTACGTGCGAGTTGTGTGTGTTTTTCTGAGTGTACGGACCATGGGCACGTGAGATGTGCATGTGTGCCTTTTGCGATATGGTGCTGTGCACCGCTGTTTAGCACTCGAGGTATATATACGTAACAAGACTGCTGTATGGATGTGTGCGGTGTACCACAAGACACGACCGCGTCCATGTAGGGACCTTGTTGGTGGGTAGTCGTTGTTTACAGGCTGGTGTACTACAGTAGTAGATACAGCAGAACTGGTTAGGATGTGTATACATCATGAACGCTTCGCTTTTCGGGGGCTCAATTCTAAATTGCTGCCCTACCCAGCTTTCCTTTGTTAGTTCGCCGTAAGATCGTACGATCAACATCCCTCTCTCTCTTCGCCCCGTGTGCCTCTGTGCTTCTACTTGCTTCTGCGCGCAAAAATCCGTACCCCGTTTTCACGTGGACGACGGACGCCCCACACCACGACGGTCTATCCGCACCTTCATGTGTGCGAATAAAAAAAAAAAAACTGCTGAATAGAAGAAGCCTTCGGCGACCTTCCTGAAAGGCTCCGTGGGATCTTTCTCGAGGGGGGGGTTGATGGTGACCCACGAAGGGCGAGTGATCTACAAGGTCAATCAGGACAGGGGGCTCATCTCGCACCCTTCCCTCAACAGGGCGAAACACACCGTGTTTGGTGTGTTCGACGGTGAGTGTTTTTTCGCACCGTCTGAGGTTGCTTGTTACGTGATACACGCTTAATCTTAACCCCTTCGGGATGCACAGAAACATCGGGGCTGAGCATGATCACAACAAAGTTTTTTAGCAAGAAAAAAACGCCTGCGAAGTGGGCGATGATTGCAGGTCCCGGACCTGTGCACAAATGTCCCCACCTGAGCAGGCTAAAAAAAACATCGCCTGCTGTTGGGGGGATGATTGGCGGTTACTGACCGATCCACACTTCACATTGTTCCCACCTGAGCCCTTTCTTGCCTAAAGACCCTATCAAATGTCCCCAGCCCTACGAAATGCCCCCCAAAATCGAGGGGACGTTTGATGGGGCTTTACGGAAAACATCCGGCAGGAGCGTGGCACATAAACCAAGCACGGAAAAGAGGTATCAAGATATTCTTCCAAGGAGAAAGCGACACCTCGACGTCCAAAACTCCAGGATGCCCGGTTGCCCCTTTTGTCGGTGGGTGAGGTGTGCTTGTTCGAGCTAGGCCCTGGTAGCGCTGTCTGCCTAGGGATAGATCGACGCGACGTAACTTCGCCGTTGAACCAGCGGGGCTGCAGCAAGCACATGCCGAACATGGTCACATCGTCGCAAGATCGCTTTCCGCTTCCACTCCCCCCGTCCAACGCCACACTACGATAGCCCGTGGTGGTCAACGCCTATCCCGGCACTCCCCCTTGTCGAGGAGTTCAAAGGCGGAGATAGCCATGCCATCCTTCGCCGGACGAAGGAGACCTACGACCATGATGCCAAACGTGCTCGAGAGTTTTCGTTCAATGGCGTCCTTGCGGGTCGGTACGGGCTCATGCGCTAACGACGACCCACCAGGACTTCTACCAAACAGGATTGTGGTCGGCACAATCCTGTTTGGTAGAGCTCCTGGCGGGCTATCGTTAGCACATGAGCCCGTACCGACCCGCAAGGACGCCATTGAACGAAAACTCTCGAGCACGTTTGGCATCATGGTCGTAGGTCTCCTTCGTCCGGTGAAGGGTGGCATGGCTATCTCCGCCTTTGAACTCCTCGACAAGGGGAGTGCCGGGATAGGCGTTGAGCGCCATGGGCTGTCGTAGTGTGGCGTTGGACGGGGGGAGTGGAAGCGGAAAGGGATCTCGCGACGATGTGACCATGTTCGGCATGTGCTTGCTGCAGCCCCGCTGGTTCAACGGCGAAGTTACGTCGCGTCGATCTATCCCTAGGCAGACAGCGCTACCAGGGCCTAGCTCGAACAAGCACACCTCACCCACCGACAAAAGGGGCAACCGGGCATCCTGGAGTTTTCGACGTCGAGGTAACGCCTTCTCCTCAGAAGAATATCTTGATACATTTTTTCTGTGCTTCGTTTTTTGTTCCACGCTCCTGCCCGGATGTTTTCCGTAAAGCCCCATCAAATGTCCCCCCATCAAATGTCCTCGATTTGATAGGGCTTTTAGACAAGCGACGGATCAGGTACATTCTGTGCACCGGCCAAGTACCGTCAATCATCGCCCAATCAGCAGGCGGATTTCCTTTTTTTTTTTTTTTGTCGTTGTGATGGTGATGTCGCAGCCCCGATGTTTCTGTTCGTTCCAAAGGGAAAGCAAAGTGCTGTTTGTTTTCTGCTGATCAATTGTGTTTGGGGGAGGCAGGACGGTGCCATTAATCAAGAACAGCGCCTAGAGGTGGCCTTGTGTTTTGTGGCCACGCTGAGAGAACATGCGATTTGGTTCGAAGCCCAGCGTAGTCCAGGCGAACATCCCAACTTGGTCTTCGCTGTGTGACAACGAGGCACCCGTTGATATGTTCTCGAGCTTGCACGTATACGCCTCGGTATGATGTCTCTCGCTCACACAGCCATTGTGGTTCGAGCCTCCTCTGCGTTGGTGCGCGCGCCCCATGATATACGAGTGTGCATACAGTATCCCAACATAACGGCGGTGTGCAGTAGCATCCGCCGTATCAGGCAATAGCCTATGCGAGATTGTTAAGCTTGGTTTTAGTACGGGTTACGGGATTGGGTTGGGGGTTTGGCTTGTAAGGGTTACGAAGCCCCCCTCTCTATTTCATGGATCAAGAATTTCACAGATCCAACAATAGAATCCTTTCATTTTTGAATCTCTTCCTTTCTTCTCCACGCTCAACACGCTTGTCCTCGGTGTGCTCTTCCGGCTTGTCGGCTGGGGGGGACGACGATTTTTTTTTACACGGCTGTGAACCGAAGGACACGGGGAGAACGGGGAGCATGTGGCCGCGTACACGATGCGGGAGGTGCCCCGCAGATTAGAGCTCCACCCGGAATCCATTCGCGACCCCGTCAGGTGAGTGAGGGAGGGAGAGAGAGAGACAGGAGATCAGGAGATACAGCGACAGACAGAGATCTGGGTCCCTGTGTGTGCGAAAGAGAGAGAGGAAGTCTGACGGGCGGACAAATAGAGAGAAAAACGAGTTTGGTTATATATCTCGAATACTGTGTGTTGTAGTCTATGTTTCCTAATAAAAACGAGAGAGTTTGGGTGTTTGTTCTTGTATATCCGTTGCCAGGCTACCAACCGCAAACCTAGCACCGCTCCCACAACAGCAAAGGACGACTTGAGAGGCACGAGGCTTGGTCGCTCTATCCTCTACCACGAGATATGGCGACGTGGGTCTTTCTTGGTTGCTGGTGTGGTTTTTCTATTTACGTGCGCAACGTCCTCCCCGATACGGTGTGAAATTGTGTATTCAGGTGTGAAGTTGTGTATCGTCTGCAAAAGGCTGGACGAGCTATAGTAGTGCTTGGAGGACACAACCTCGCAAGTCTGCTCGTACTGCGTTGTGGTGGGTCGTTCACAGTCTTCGTTGCCGTGGGTTGCATTTGTTGCTGTTTTTGTCGCCGATTCCGCAACTGTGGGTGTGCGTTTGTGGCATACCTGCGGAGTCCCCTGTTGGGCAGACCATCAGGGCACAACGAGCAGGATCGGAGAGTGCACCAAACTGGGATAGGGCCCAAGGCCGGGGAGGGGGGGGGGGGGG